GGGATGGGTGATTAATTGGGGAGTCTTGAAATTTTTCTAAGCCTAAAAAGGTGGTCTTTAAGTATTTTTAAAGCTATTAAGGGGGTCGTTATTCCAGAAGGTGCTATAATCTACCTGATGAGAGTTGATTTGATAGCTGTCACGTGGCTAGGCCTTAACCACTGTACTCCACCCACTACAAGAATGGTATCGGTACTGTTATATAACGGCATGAATCTGCGATAGGATGATACATAAATTTGTTTATTGATGAACAAAGACAAAGTGAAGAAAACCAATAAATACATAAGTGTACAATAGAATTCTTTAAAGGGTTTGTTAGAGAGTTTTAGCAAGACAAGTTTTTGGGTGGAAATTATCGACGCACGTGAAGACTAAATACAAAAACTGCACATATTTGTTGCTCGCGTAAATAGGTGTCCTGCAAAAAGGTTTTCATCGTAACAATTKTTCCCCCAACCCAGTAAAAAGAAACGCTTGCTACGCAACCTATGGAAGAGATAGCGTAATTGTTTGCGAGCAAGTACAAGTGAATTTTATGTATCCGTGAAATAGGTTGTAACGAAATATAGGAAAATTATCATAAAATCATTTGTCTTCTATCGGTTAATAAGTGTAATTTTTTCCATTTTCTTACAAAATGTTTCACGGTTATAATGAATACATTCAACTCTTAATTCCATCGAACAAAGCCGCAAAAATTAAAAATACGGAATTTTGCCGACACCTACTTTGCCATAAGATGATGYAGAGCTTTTAAGAAGTCTGGCTTTCTGTAAGAAGGCAACCAAAATTGCGGAAAATAAGCAAAGCTGACCGACGTTTGATCGTCATTCAACGCGCTGCTGTAAACCTTCATKGAATGTGTCTTTTCCCACTGATGTAAAGAACCGTTTATCTAAAACAAAACAAAWTATCACTTGAAATTTGATTAATCAAATTATAATTATATTAATCTTTATTATTAGAACGTGACTTCGAATTTTGCATTTATACGTTTTGAACGTCCTATTAGACCTCTGCAGCTTTTACGTCATGTACCGTATACGCAATGCATTGTAGGATATGTTTGGGACAGAACATGGCGGATTTCTTTTGTTTTCTCTTGAAATTGATCCCACAATGCATTGAAAATCAATGAGTGACGTAAAAGGTTCAAAAGTCTATTCACATGATCAATATTTAATTTTKAATTTTAATTTTAAAATGCTCATGCAAAAGTAAGTAGTCTAACTCAGGATCATGTTCAACYGGCATCCCTTTMGGGGTTTTGTTTATGTTTGAAAATAAAAAATATATCGGGTTACAAGTAAAAACCTATCCCTTATTAAGCCTTCAATGGAGATACTGAATGATTCGATCTTAAAACCAACAGACAGAAACAAATTGTGATACTTATTTCCATATCATAAAAGCAAAAAATACGACCGCATTGAATGCCGGTTGATCATGGCTCTTTATCATGGCTACGTCGACCGCGAAAGAACACTTAAAATGAGTAAAATACAAATATAATTATTAGAAAACAATGCTGCCGACAAACCTTCTGCATAAGATAATACATCATGCCTCGATTCGTTGAGTCACCGACGAATAAAATCTACAAAAGTAAAAGCTCGAGGTAAGGTTTCCTGTGTTGTTGCGTCCGTAGGAGACTGATTCTATTAAGACTTTCGAACCCAGTCCGATCTCACAAATGACTGATTGGATCATCAACTTCATAAAGACAGGATAAGATAGGGGTCTGTGTATGAGAATGTAGAATTGTGCAGGATCGGACGACTGCCTTAGAGAATGAGGAAGGAGTGAAACTACCTTTTTCTTAACTAAACAAGTTTTTGCCTCCATTGCCGTCAGTCGTCTGTGCTTGCA